ATCTGCCGTCGTCGGCTTGTTCACTGGGTCACCCCCATTGCTCACGTCGCGAGAGTGGTTATTGGCACAGTTGCCGGAGTCGATCTTCTCCTCTTGAGCTGCTAGAGAATGAAGGCATGAGGAACTCGAGTGGCCTATGCGACCGCACTGGAAACAAATGACTGGCATGTTTTCGTAGACGACCCTTTGTTGTCTGCCATTGATTGAGAAGCTAGCGCATAGCGGTTTTGTAATGTCAACCAGCACGGCCAACCGCGCAAACTTTCCTCGGGTTAGAGCTGCCCTTTATTGATCTATATTCACAACCTTACCCACTATACGCCAAATTATGCAGAATATCTTTTTGTGGTAGAGATGAGTGGGCATGCCTAGAAAACGAATCCATGCAACTATCGTCGTCACCTCTTCCTTCGTTGGGTCGAACTCAAGAGTCCAAGGTTGGACATGCATATAGGCTCCCCCTATGACGCACGGCTCATCTGTGGGGACTTTCACCGCATCCTCCTGTAGACGAAAGTGAATGAGATCAAAGTCGTTCTCAAGATCCATCATGTTGCAGCCTGCCATAAAAGGCCACATCTTGGTCAAGTGATTGTACAGTGAGGCCATGGTTATCGACTCATCAAATGGTTTAATCACCACTGCATTCATCCACTTCTTTTCAAGTTGCTCAAATAATCGTTGTGTAATCCTAATGTCAGGCACTGGGTAGGTTAAGTCTACATAGATGTCCTACTCCCCTCTTTTTGAGCCACTTCATCCTCTTTAGAGATCAAATCCACATAGGATTTGTGTCTATTCACCATGTCCCGGAACGTCCATCGTGGAGGGGGGCACTTGAGATTGCAGGCGGGGTAACCGGTTGTGCTATTGGAGAATTCGTGCTCGTATGGTTTTGCTGGTCCAAAAATTCCCCCAATCTGTTACGGGTTCTTAGGCATTTTGACGCTGGGGGTAAATTCGAAGTCAAGGGAGGGAATTCCGTATCAGTGATGTGCGAAGGTGGTTCAACATCGGGATCGAAGGTCGCCGTTCCCGGGCGGAGGGCATCCAGACCGTTTTCTTCGAGAGTGTTTTCCATCTTTAGTACCCAATAGAACCTCCAACAATATTAGTTAAACGAGTAATAGTAATAATAGATGTTAGAATTAATTGGACTGTTGGTGGGATTAAAC